AAGAATCTTTTGCTAGGCTTGGTGGTGCACATCTGTAATCCCAGGCAGCTGAGGTTGATCTTGGGAGCTAGACATCAAGAGATTGCTGCCTGGCATACCTTCATTTTAGCCCTGTGAAACTCATCTTAGACTTCTTACTACAGGAGCCTAGATAATAATTTTTTTGTCATTTAAGTCACTATCTGTAGCAACTTCCTTGAGCAGCCATAGGGAATTGACACAGTAACTCAAACTTTACTCAATTTTAATTTCCAAAACAATAAAAACCAATTAATGTCATATTATGATAAAAAAAAAAGAAAAAAAAAAAACGTAGGGCCTTGCACATGCTAAGCAATTGTTCTCTCACTGAGTTACATCTCCAGTCCTGTAATTCCAAATTTTTAAGTTGCAATATCATTATAAGGAACCATAGAGTTTATATAAAATAATATCCTGTTATAGCTGTAAAAATTCAAAAGAGACACAGAGAAAGCATTCCTGTTCTAAATAGACAGGCTTGAAACCAACAATAAAAGTAAGTTTTCTATGCACATGATATTTTCAGAAAGAATTCTTTTAATAGTCTGATTGTAGATAGACAAAATCTTGTAAAGTGTTTTGTGTGATTAAAACTTAAGATCAAAGCAGTTCATGGCATAGAAGATAATTTATATAAATAAACATTTGAATATATGTTGAAACTATATTATGAATAGGAAGATTCTTAAAGAATTTATTATAGATTAAGTTGTCAGTGTTTGTATTAATGATTTTCTTTGTATTATTTCTTTCAGATATGGAAACAAGTGAAAAAATGCAAGGAAGTGGAATACTTCAAGTGTTTGCAAGTCTTTTGACTCCACAGTCTTCCTGTACAGCCAAAGTMGCTAACATCATAGCAGAAGTAGCCAAAAATGGTGAGGTTTTCCTCAAGAACTTTTCTGCTGGGAACATCTTCAGTTTTACACTTTACTTGTCAGTATGTTTATATGTTTTAATTTTATAGATTAGATTTTTTCTATTCTTTTTTCTTTGACATTTTTTCATGTAATTGTTTGAAATGACTACAGTTCTAGTCATTTAATTCATACATTTCTCATTTGCTGTTTCATTCCTTCAGAGAAGAACTAAGGGAAAGAACTGCTAGTCTTTGCATAATTTATTACTTTGCATATATGATTCTTGAGCTTGTCAGTAAGTCATTCATCTTCATTGTCATAGGAGAGGTTACCTTTTCTGTTGATTTGTGTTATAGCCAGATTGGCTTGCTTTTTTTTTTCTTCCCCAGTCTTGCCTATCCTTCTGACATTGGCATTTGACATCAATAATGCAGTTGGAATGTATGTTCTGTTTCCTGCACTTGATTTCCTGGAAAACATCTACTTTTAAAAAAAAAAATTCCTGTAAGAATACCTTGGAAAAGTAACAACAGCAAAGTTAGATTATATAATACTTAATTCATTGTTTATCGAACCTCCATTGAGAGATTTTTAGAAGAATTACAGCAGAAATGTTTGCACATGATTTTAATTCAGTCAGTTTGAGAAAACTGAATTTTTTTAAAATATTTTTTTAGTTGTAGATGTGCACAATACCTTTATTTATTTATTTATTTTTTAAAGAGAGAGTGAGAGAGAGAGAGAGAGAATTTTTTAATATTTATTTTTTAGTTCTCGGCAGACACAACATCTTTGTTGGTATGTGGTGCTGAGGATCGAACCCGRGCCGCACGCATGCCAGGCRAGCGCGCTACCACTTGAGCCACATCCCCAGCCCCACAATACCTTTATTTATTTTTATGTTGTGCTGAGAATTGAAATCAGTGCCTCACATCTGCAAGGCAAGTGCTCTACCACTGAGCCACAACCCCAGCCTTAGCCCCAGAAAACACTGAATTCTTAAAGTACTTTTTTAAGCATGAGGGAAAGCCATAGTAAATGTAAATAATACTTTAGTGTGCCTCAATTTGTCAAAGTTTGATATTATTTTTAGGCCTTTTATTTTAATTTGTTGCACACTTTATTATGTTGCATTTTATGCTTTAAAGAAAAAAATTTTAAATGCTGAATTCTTTTGTTTAATCATTATACCAGGTGGCTTTGTAAAGTACTACTGTGTATTGCTTGTGACTGTAAAAACATGTTCTTATGTGTGTTTTTGGAAAGAAAATAGCCACATAACTTTTTTATTTAAAGGTTATCACCATGCCTTTAGGCTTCAGTTACACTGTATATTTTGTTGTTGTTACTTGAATGTCACATCTGAGAGTCAAATCTAGATGTGATTTGCCTAGATGGAACCTCTCTAGGCATTGTTTATAGCCTAGACCAACCCTATCAAAATCTTCTTAGATACAAAGCATCTTGTTTTTTAAGATAGGTAGTTAAATTTTAGCCTTATTAGAATCATACTGTAGATTTTCAGAAATTGAGGTAGAGGTACAATTTTTATGTTAAAACACTCTTTCTTAAAAATGGGCACAAATACTGTTGTATAAATTCAGAAATTTTATGCTCTTAATATCATTGCTCATAATGCTTTGTCACGGTTTCATGACAACTCTGCTACTAGAGATTCTTTAAGTAATGCTCTAAAAGACATGAGTGTGTTCTAAAGACAATACAATTTTTAGCATGTATAGTTTAAATCAAAGGCTAATGAAAAGGGCGTATTGTTAGCCTCTACTAGTTAAAAATAAAGGGTATACATTTGGATGTTTATTGCTTAATGACCATGACGCTTTTTTTGAAGTGACCAACTGAGAAAGTAGATCAGAATCTTTTTTTTTTAACACAAATACATATCTTCAGAAATGCAACGTGATACAACAGAGTATATTAATTATACTTGTATTTATTCTTGTTAGAAACTTTACAATGAACAAACATTGTATGAACCAGAGAAAAATGAGGTTGGAAGTTTATTTGTTTATCTTACAGTTATTATGTAATACACAGGAGAAAATTAGCATATACTTCATAGTTTCAGAATAAACTAAAAGTCTGTTTAAATGTTTGCATACAAAAAGAAGCTCTAAAAATTAACAAAGCTGACTGTGCTGACATTAACACTTCAGAGGAGTAATAAGATATCACATGCACAAGTTTAATGTGGGAGGATAGCTATGACCATAAATCATAGTAAAAGATTTTTAGACTTTTTAAAATAAATTATTCCCTTTTATAAATAACTTAAGACTGATATAGGGCACTGGAATAATAAACAAGATAGGAAGACTATGAATACTTCTTCCTTTTCAGAATTGGATTCTGAAGGTAACTAATAATAATTTTTAATACTACTATTATGTGCCTTCATTGTGCCAAGTATTATGTACATAATTTCAAATTCTTTAATAATCTGTTTTCTTAGATAGGAATCAACTTTGTTATTAAACTTTATTGTCATTATGGTAGTATGATGCCTATTCCTTAAAACCTATGAATTGGATTTCTGCATTGAAGTTCACACTTTATGCAAAAAATAAAAAAGAATTCTGTGTCACATAGATATACATACATACAAAAATTTAAGGATTTCTGCTTTCTGTAGCTTAATGGCTTCACTGACTTTGATATCTATTCATTATTAATCTGTATGCATTTTTATTTTAGCCTCCCCTTAGAGTACTCCCCAGCCTTTCCCTTCTCAAGAAGTTTTTTTTCAGTTCTCTGGAGTTCAAATTGCCAAGAGTGAGAATTTGATTTTTCTTTAGTTCGTCACCATTGCTCTGTTTAGCAGATCTTGAAGCGTAAACCATCTTTTTAGGCTATTGACCTACATAGGCTGATGTGAGTTAGAATCCAGCTAGCTGAGATGAGGGAGCAGACTCATTGTTGGGAACACAGGCACGTATACAACAATAACCCCTTTGAGTAAGGATGACTATCACAGCCATTCTGAAGCCTCTCAATATGATATAGTATTTTAAACGTATTCTGATACTCTAATATATTTTTAAAAATATATCTATCTGAAGCATGGTTTTTAAACTAGCTAAGGAGGGCTGCTGCTCTTAGTTAAAAAATTGTTTTTAAAGGATGTTACTTTCTTCAGAGGCTGGCAGTGTTGCCTTTACATTGACTGTAAGGCTGAGGACTGTCATAGCCTTGTTCTATCTTTTTATGTTTCTGAATAAAATTCATTTGAGCAGTTTTATTTGATGCCATGGTTTTCCTATATTATTTAACTTAAATAATTTTAAGAATACCTGAAGCTTTTGTTTGTGGAATCAGTTTTGAGAAATTGGTATATAGGTAATTAGAACATAATAGCAAAGGATAGTAATACCTCTATGTTTCCTTTACTTGGGGAATAGTAACAACAAAACAAATAAAATAATGTGTAACAATAGGTTCTGTTTATGAAATGAGTGCAAATCATATTATTGCTAAATTTCTTAAGAGTTGTCAATGAAATGAGATGATCTTAACTGTTGGAGCTAGGTATAGCTTGGTGAAGAGGATAATGAACATCAGTCTTTAATTTGAGTTGGTGACACATTAATTTACATTTGAAATCTATAAAAATTTGTAAAGTAACAGTTAATGTAAGAGGTAGATAAGTAAATTAATGTGTCATTTCCTATAGATGATCACAGAATTTATGGCCATGTGTATCATAATTTGTTTTTCTGACAAGTGGTAGGGTACCTCCTACTACTGCAAGATTTTTAACATCTCACTTGATAGATACAATTGTTAAGCTTTCTTATTATTAATGTTTTAATATCAGTGATAAACTTAAAGGTTTAACTTAAGGTTATTTTTAAAATAGGAATTAATTTTAATATTGGAATTTTAAATCACAGAAAGTTTTCAGTGATAAAAGAAAGGATAGGAATGAAATCCATTGCTTTTTGATAGAGTGGAATACCCTGTTTTAGGGGGACAGGAAGATTTTTTTGTTAGGTTTTCAGTATTGGGATTGAACCCAGAGCCTCAGGCATGCTAGGCAAACACTGTACTGCTGAGCCACATCTCCACTACCCCCAATAAGAAGATGTTTAGAGGTGACAGTTCACATCACAGCTCTCTGTGTTATGCTCTAATTTGAAAATGAAGGAAGAGGAGGATTATTGCTTAAAAGAATACAGGTGAAACAAAAACAAAGGAGTGGATCTCCTTGAAAGTGAGAGTGAGAAGATAGTTATTTTTTTAGTAGTAAAAATTATAGGTTAAGAAATTAGCTCTGTGTTGATGAACTTTATTGACCAGAACATCCTGTTGGTAAGTTTTGATGTCCAAAATGACTATTCTGATATGGTTATTGGAGAACTTTTTTCAATTGCATATCTTCATTATCCTTAAATTTTGTTGTGGCCCATCATGAAGCACTATAAAATAGTTATTTCCAATCATGACCATGGTGGTACGATTGGGAGCCAATTAGTAGAAAATGATATACTATAAAGATAAGGGGAAAATGAGGTTGCAGTATAAGAAAACTTAACATTTGGTGCTTTAGACCTATAAGTGCTTGGGTACAGCAGCAGTTATAAGGGATCCATAAAAATGGATTTTTAATAAAGAATAGGAATGCAGAAATGGAATACATGATTTCACTAGGACTTACCAATTGAAAAGGACTATTATTTATAATGATTCACTGGAGTGCTTTTTAAATAAATTTGTTATTTTGGCTGGTTAGAGATCATATAATGAAGAATTAGGCCATGTGATGGATTAGTTTATAACTGTGGTACTTTAATTACCAGGCTCATAGAAAGAACATTGCCATCATTACATGCTGTTTCCAAAGCACATCCAGCTATTCTAAGAAGATAGTGATAAATTAGTTGTAATGGAAGTTAATTAAAAATCCTTTTGGTTTATGGCAGAAATTATCAACAAAGAAAACTATGACCCTCTCATTTTTGTGTACTTATTTCATGAACTGTTTAGTAGGGTCATAACAGAGCATTTTTTAACAGAAATGTACTTTTCAAATAGTAAGTCCCCCTAAAAAAATTAATAGTAGATACTTATTTTACTATGGGAATTGTTTATGTAAATTGTAGAATTTTAATTAAATATGCTTTTTATTTTCAGAATTCATGCGAATTCCATGTGTTGATGCTGGATTGATTTCACCACTGGTACAGCTGCTAAATAGCAAAGACCAGGAAGTACTGCTGCAAACTGGCAGGGCTCTAGGAAACATATGTTACGATAGCCGTAAGTGTTGAGTTGTCAGTAATACATTTGTAAATGTTTAAGAATTGTGATTTTCAGATTAATTGCATTTTCGTGTTTCATTCTTTTCTAGAATGACCAATACATTAACATGGGGTAGCATGATTTATCTCTGCTCATGTAGCAGAACAACTGTGGCCTACAAGCCATCATGCTCATAACTAAGAAGTGACAGGAAATTAATTATCTTCCTCTGTTACCACAGGAGATATTTTCTGACAAAAATAAGCATGTTTCTAAAAATTAGGGCTTTTAAATTAAGCAAGAATACATACGTTAACCTTACGGTTTATTGAAGATGTGTGTCAAATGAGAATGCTTATGGACAGTTTTTAAAATTTCTGAGTCTGTCCAAATAAAATTTTAATTGCTTTGTATTTAGTGAAAATATTCAGAAAACCCTGAAAATATTCAGAAAACCCATTATCTTCTCAAAAGCTAGATTGGCATTCACATTGACTCCATTGCTACTTGTCATTATGCCATTGTCATCTTCAACACCTTCTATAATGCATTGTCCCGGACAAAGAGAAACAAGAATTTGGGTATGTGTGTATTGCAAAAGTGTTATGATTTCTATTGTTCCTTCCTTTATATAAACAAAGTACAGAAAACCCTCAGTTGTAACCAATTTAATTAGGCTTAACCTGATTTTCCTTAGACTTTTCTAAGCCCAAACCACATATTTATCATTCACTTTTAAAGCCTCCTGGAAAATATAGTCTTATTTATGTAACTAGTATAACTTTTAATGCTTAAATTCCTTGTTGGGTTAATATCTCAAGTGAGTTTTTATTACAAACACAAAATGTGTGACCCTTTTATCGGTGCTTAAAACGTGATTCATGCTTAAGAGCCAGGTGGAAAGTAAGAGTATGAACATTAATTTATGATAAAAGAAAGAGAAGAAAAAATGAAACTCTAGTTATTATAATAGACTGGTAAGGCTAGCCTCATTTGTTCTCCTCTCCTTCTGTTTTCTGTAATGTGTTATGAGCCTTAAGCTTGAAATATCAGTAACATGTCCAAGGATGTGAAGGTCTTTACATCAATTTTAACTTACAGTTTCTAGTCTCCAGTGCTGCCTATAAATTTACCTATCTGCTTCTTTGCTCCTGTTTGTTTTATCTTAGAGCATTAGCTTTATTCACAAAATGCTAGTGCTTTATGTTTATAATTTTGTATTTTCATGTTTGTGATTTTTATTAAACACTCTACCTTATAATCACAACTTTTAAGAATGAACCATTATACATTTTATGATTTATTTTTAGAAATATAGTGTTAAAAAGACCTCTAAACAGTAATAAGCAAGGTATAATGATATGTAGTTGGAGAGTATTGACTATTACTGTTTTTATTTTTATCCTATTTTTTCCTAGAAGTTAAGGCTACCCGAAGAATTCTTTAAGCCTTGTTCAGCATAGTTATTCTTGAATTGTACATTGTTTAAACATAGGGAGTATTATCTGTTTTGAGGACATTTGTCCTGGAATTTTACTTAGTATCGGCAAAATAGAAAACCAGTGAGTGATCTTTCATCTAATACTGCAGTATATTTTGTGGACACAGAGTAATTTATTTCCTGTGTACTCTAAGAAGACTTGAAGTTAGAGTAATAAGTTTCCAGTTAATAAGACTATCATTTTGGTGAAACTGAAATCTTATTATTATTGTGCTTACCAAATCCATTTTTTATATCTTATGAAAAACACAGTGTAAAGTTTTGTGGATATTCTTTAAGTTATGAAGTTAATTTTTTTTGTTTCACTTATTTATAACTACTTCATCCTCATTTAGTTCAATGGAAATTCTGCTTAAATGAGTAATTAAGAATAGTGAATACAAGCATAGTTTTATGCTTTTAGGCCTTGGTTAAGGAAAATGAAGTTGGCTTTTTTAAAAATGAGTATATATAAAAACTGATTTATTCTTGTAAGTCATATGATGAGAATGTGTTCATCATGCTGTGCTGTCTTATGCATATAATTTCTATAAGACTGCATGCTTTCTTATTATCTTTTAATTTTAAATTAAGTTTTTGTGGACTTAATGATTTCTTCAGAATTATTATAGTAACATAAGAGTCTATATTCAAATTTCAAGAATGATATAAAAGTCTGTAAGTGTGATGCTTGTATGGTTACTTATGAATTACCTGAAATGTGTTTCTTATTTGTTTTCTTTTAAGAAACCTAAAAGATGAGTTTCTCTTAGTTTTTAATGGCTTTCATTCTAATTAATTCATCAACCTTCTTCCCTCTCAAAAAGGTAATGCTTCATTTTTGAAGAAAAATAGAAAACTATATGTGAGAGCCTCGTAAATACATGGAAGTTTTTTCTTCCAAATATAGTATGTTTTAAAATTCACATTTACATTTCATCAAACTTACTTGTCAAGTTAAGTGGCTGACTTAACATTTTACTTATTTACTCCAAATGAACAACTTTTTAGTGTGATTTTATTCAGAATGATAGTAGGTTGCAGAAGATACTAGAGCTGATGTATACAGAAAGTACTGTAAGCAATTCACTATTGGAGGAAAAAAAATCAAGAAATTTGTGTGTGTGTTACAGGTTTTTATTTTGACACCTACAAAATAAAGCATATGCTGACACATTACAGTTAATATAGTTTATCTGAAAGGAGGAAAAGCTCCCTCTGTAGAAAGAAATATCATAAAATTCATGGAAATCTTTAGAAAAGAAGTAGGTCAGATTTCAGTTTTAACAGCTTTGACAGCTCCCATTTTAGGAACTCTTCCTAATGGAAGAAAACGGTCTTATATAATCTTAACAGCAAGTAACAGGCTGACATAACTACTAAATGGGACAGAGTAAGGCTTTGTTGCTGATGAACTTTTTGAATCCCAATCCCCCTCTTACATATAGAGATGAAAAAATCAGTGATTGGGAACATTTTTCATTTAAATGCCTGCTCAATTTTTTTTCTCCCAAATAGCTTCTAAGAACCTTCATTTATGAGTTTCTCTTTCGAAGTATCCAAATAGACTTTGATATAAACAACATTTTAAAACTTTTGCTCTTTAACTTTGTCAAAATAACTCTTTTTATGAGAGGTTTGACATCTTTCAGATGAAAGAAGAGAGAAAAATTGTATTTCAATTTAGAAAGGAAATGCTCAGGAATGTGGTTTTAAATRAAGAGAAACAGTATCATATTTCAGAAATACATTGTTTGGCCTATTAATCACACATTCTTCTCAAAGGTGATATAAAAAAAATGAGTGTTGCTTTCTTCCTATATGGCCATCTTTGTGGCATTCAATTCTTTCATTGATTTATTTTGTACAGCTGTGCACATTTTAAATTGATATAGTTAAATGGTCTTGTAATTTTGAAAAACCTCAAGTTCCCATCCTGTATTTATAATTTCAGGGAATAATTTGGTGTCTGGAGATTGAGTTTTCCATGTTTGTGAATATTTTTGCCTGAGGTCAGGAAATAACTGCGTGTTTGATGCATTAGTTAAAAAAAAATATTAGTAGAGGCAGGAGAAAATGCTTACATAAAATTAAATATTTGTCTTTTTTATTCAAAAGGAAAAATCACATGAACATTTTAAAATTAAATATTCCTCTTTACAGAAATAAAATTAATATTATATAATTAGTTCCATGATTGGAAACATATGTACACTTAAGGAAGAAAGGTTATATGGTAGGCTGTTTCACATGGTAGAAAAGATAAAATTATATTCTTAATTACTGAAGAGTAAATAAATATTCAGAAGGAGTTAGTAATCAGACTTGCCAAAAAGAGTGTTTATTAAATAAAATAAATATTATTTAATTGACTTCAAGTATAAGTAAAAATGATGCTCAAATATATGCATGTACCCATTTGTATATTAGTGATTCTTACTGTGCTACACTATTTTTATGTAAAGGAAGAAGATGTATGGTTATGTATGGTTATGACTGCAAATGATGAAAACAATTAATAGTGTTTCTACACTATTTTGTAAAATAAGTTGGTCAGATAACTATGTATTAATATAGTACAGACATGCTTTGAAATTGCCCATGTAATCGAAGTATATTTACAACTGTTGTAGTTAACAGGGAACTATTTTTGACTGGGATTTAAAAATAAATATTTATTTCAATGATATTCATTAGATTATTTGATATGTTATTAAAAGTTTTTCTAGGTCTGTTGCCAATTTTTTCATTATTTAGTTTTAGAATAAAGTAGAAATTGTCAACCAGTAAGTAACATAAAAATCAGATTCTTAACTTTGACCAGTTTATTTTTTGAGTCTGTTATCAAAGTGCATTATATATTCAAGAATAAACAACTATATGGTGCTGTTATTTTAGAGAAATTATAATTTGTAATTATAATCACATGAAAATACTTCATTGTAAAGATGCCATAAGTATATAAAGTAGATACTGTTTTGTAACCCTATCTGAAGCTCTAAAAGGTTCATGCACAAAAGCTTTTAATGTGGTAGAAAAAATAATGTGAACAAAGGAACATAGCTGAGGGTAGTTAGAGTACACATTAAATATGTGGGTTTGGCAGAATAAAATAAACAGATGATAAGAGTACTAATTGCAGCTGTTTTTTAGAAACTAATCAAATAGTCTATTGCTTAGGAAAATTAATATAATTATGGTATAAAAATTAATATAACTATAAATGTTTAAAATCTTACTATGTCCTCAGAAGGCAGACATAAATGGATATGATTTCCAGCTCTGTACTTACTAAATATTTTATTTACTCTTTCTGATTTTAGTTTTCTCATTGGTAAACTGGGTTTATTATGTGGATTAAATAAGGTTTATATATAAAAGTATCATACASATCATGAATTACTATGAAAGCAAATACTGTGATGATTGTTTCTAAAAAATGTGCTGTAACCTAATGTAATATGTACACAAACACACAMAAAAAAATATTTACAATGAAGACATGAAAGCCAGAAAAGGAGGCAAAGATAAATCTGGG